GGCACGCTACGGAAAAACCCACCTGGAGACCCACATAAAAAATTACAATTTTGCTCCTTATGGTCGTAGAAAGACCCTGAGAAATGTGTTTCAAATGGTTCTTCCCCACCTGCCAGGTGGTGAGGGTCTCTAGGTTTTATCAAGAGTTCCTTCCTCCTTCTCCTCCTTCTCCTCCTTCTCCTCCTTCTCCTCGTTCTCCTCCTTCTCCTCCTTCTCCGGCAGCTACGAGCTCCCGATCTCGGTGGCCGCTGCCCGACCTCAACCGCGAATGCCAGATCTCTCAGTGGGCACTGCCGAACCTTAACCGCGAGCGCCACTGCCGAACCTCAACCGCGAGGTTCCGATCTTCAATGGGCACTGCCAGACCTCAACCGCGAGCGGCCGATTTTTGAGCGGGCACCGCCGGACCCCAGCCAGACGCCGGAGAGAATGTCAGATAGAGTGCCAGAAAGAATGTCAGAATAGATGCTAAACAGAATGCCAGAAAGAATGTCAGAATGAATGTCAGAATAAATATGCCACAAATACTTCCAGATGGTATGTCAGAAACTGGTCAGAAACTATGTCAGAATAGTGTGTCAGGGTGGGGGTCATTCGAAGAAGCAATTACTATTTTTTCACTTCTGGTTCTTTGGGGTTCCATCATGTTCCATCTACAAATGCGTCATTTTCAATTGTGAAGTGAGTTTTTGTTGAGGTTAAAGAGGGAAAAGAGTCTTAGCAAGTAGAATATCTGGTAAAACAGCTACCTATTGCAAATGGTGATTCTGCCTCCATCTAAATAAGCACAAGATATTTCCCAGCACAGGGTTCATCCCAGTAATTTCCATTCCCAGCGATAGGCAACCAACTGATCATTTACGACCATTGCACTGTAAAATTACAGGAGGGCGAACTCATGGTCTGAACATGTTCTTACAATGTTTAAGAAGATCATACCGATAAGAGACCTTCAAGTATCGTCTTTTTATTGCTGAATTTCACCTGTCTAGTGGTTCATAAAACAGCTTCATTTACATCCTTTCTGGCTGGAGATCATGACGTAGGGCCAATGTGGGATGATTTCCCCCAAGCCGTTAAACCTAACCATCACCTATGGTGACATCACAGTTTTTGGTCACTATAATTTATCCAAACCAATGATATAATTAGTTGTCATTTAGTAACAACGATGTTCCCCAATATGTTGGGTAGTACTAACCCTGGACAATCATCGATCAACAGGGGTCTTGAGACATCTACAATCATCTACAACATAACTGGATTCAAAATGCATCCAGACAAAACATATAAACTGCATATATATATATACACTAGCTATACTGGTGCCTGGGACGGACCCTTAAAGTCCCAACTCAACACCAGGTCATTCTACTTGGGAGCGCGTTTCCACTTACAAGTGGATATATATATATATAGCTTATACAGTGAACCATATCATCCACAGCTATATGTGGAATATCCCCAGTTATATTGGGCTTATGAACCATTTACGATTCCTGGGATGCCTAGGTGCCTTCTTCGATCGCCTCTCCTGCAGCCGGCTTCGCACAGTGCCTAGTAGAGCACTCGGGATGGACTGAGGAACACATGGGGAAAATACGTATACAGCCTTTATTAACCGATATATAATCATACAGAGATATGTATACAGTATATATATATATTACACTTTTATCAATACACACTCACACGTAAATAAATACATTATATAATATATATATATATATGAAGGCATAAAAGTACAGCAAAAGAAGAACTATGATCCGAGAAATTCGGAGCCAAGACACTGGAGGCCATGCTGCTGTTGAACCTCGGTCCATCTCGGGGATTGGAGGATCCCATGGCTGATACCCTGTAGGTTATGCACCACTTAGTGGGATGATCCTCTAGGGATTTAGGGTTCACCACATTGCCAAGATTTACGCGTCAACCTGTGCATGTGTTGTATGTTGATCTGTACCATGGGCACAAATAGGACTAATCTATAACCATGATTGACCCATATGGGGTATTCTTGGGGGTCAATATGAGGATGCGTAGTAATTTGTGGTGGGAGAACCATAACATGACCGCATACCATGTCTTGACCATGGCACATATCATGATTATTGCTTCCTGTTTATGTTTCTTGGGGAGACTCCCAAGGGGACACTGTTGAGCCAAGGCAATGAAAAAAAGTCTTGCAGTTGGAGTATGCAGTGGACTAAGGGAGGAAAACAATTGATTATTGTTGCGCATTCCATCATTTTAACGGGTAGCAGGTGCTTGCAGTTGGTTGGATGACGTGAGCGGTCTGTTATGGGGAGGATTTGTGGCGGGCTGGGCCTTTTGATCCTTTGGACGATATCCATGATATGGCTGCAAGATGCTATAAAAATCCTCAACCCTCTGGTTTGATGTAACTTATCATGATCACATGTAGCTTCTCATGATCACTAAATATTTAAAACCAGCAAAAAACCAGCAGCATCTACGTATAAAATCCTGGCCACGGCACTTCAGGGCCTCCGCCTTCGGCTCCGGCAGCGCCTTCAGCGGTGCCGTTGCCGCGTAGCCCGCGGCCTCCGGGGCGGAGAAGCCCAGCAGCACCGCATCGGAAGCTTCGGCTGTCAGCTCCTCGGGAGAAATCATGGGAAATCTCCGGGGAAAGTGGTAGTTTTAGCATGGTTTTCACATGTGTTTGGCCCGGCTGGGCTTTATTAAGGAAAATGAAAAGGAAAACCAAAAAATAGAAAACACACACACACATATATATATATATACATATATCTTGGGTTGGTTTCTGATGGAGGATTTACGTTGACTTGTGGGAAACCAAGTGGGAACCCAGATTTATGTTGGTTGAAATAGGGGAACCCAAGAGGATATGGAAATTCACCAATCGAGCTTTTTGTCGGATGCTTTCTGTATACATTTTGTTTCATGCTATTTTTTTGGGGGACGGGGGATGCAGCGGTCAAAAATGCAATCAAGCAGTCAGGAAACGGGTAAAAGATACACGATGAACAGCTGCTTCACCATCAATATGGGTTTTGAACCTGATCAACAACCAAGAAAACAGACTAAAACTACAACATAGCATTCATTGTTCTTCTAGAATCGCTTTATTTTTTCATCAGCCATTTTCAATGCTTCATCCCATTGAAACTGGTTGGTACGTGGTTTCAACCTCTCTGAAGAATATTAGTCACTAGTCGGTTGGGATTATTATTCCCAATATATGGAAAAAGAAAAATGTTTCAAACCACCAACCAGGAAATGTCCTTGATTCGTGACATCATTTGGAAGAGCCCTGCCAGCGCATCGCCACCGGTCTCGGGCAGCCGGCCTGGACCGATATTTTGGCATTTGATCGATGGTTTTACTAATCAAAAACTGGGATTTTACAAACGAATCATGGAAAATCATGGGGCGATTGGGAATAAAGATGATTTAATCTGCTCAACTTGTGAAATATTGAGATATGATTTAACCATCAAAAGCTGCGGAAAATGTGGATTACCAACCCGCAAAATGGTGTTTCAATCATTACTTTGAAACAAAAAATTGAGAAGTGACCATTCCCCCAACTAGCAACCCTAAGAATCGCCTGTTGGGGGTGTCTGTGTCAGTTGATTGATCCAGAGTTGAACTGTTTAGAAAATTTAAATGCAGTAAATAGTAAGCAGGATTGAATATCCTACAAAGTGAGGCCCCATTTACGATAGCTAAGTTGATGCGTATAATTTGGTGAATTCTAAAACCATAATTATAGGTAATGTTAGGTCATGGCGGTATAAACCAACAAACATAATGTTTGGGGGCCTCACATTGTATCTTGCACACGTGCTGGCCCCCCGAACACACCACTGCTTTGAGCAATAGAGCGATGCCCTCTGGGTAATGAGTGACAAATTGCGAACTGGAAAATGGTACATGTATAGATCCCATATGCTCCATGTATGGTATATTTACCTACATTTGGGTGATTTTTAGGGCAAATGTTGGTAGATATTCCATTCATGGAGCATATGGTGAAAATTTTCCTAGTATTTCCGTTGCCAATTTTCCCATGATAAATCTAAATTACAGTCAACTACCATCCGGCAGTCGAAGGCACTGGAAAATTACCCGTTTATAGATTAATTTCCCATCTAGACATCTCCGTTGAGCTCGCGGATTTTCCATTGCCAATGTTGGTTGACCAGGGGCTACATTGAGTTACCAGAGGGTATGCATTGGCCAAGCGTCCCTTCAACTCTTCGATTTGTTTCTGTAAAGCATCGATGGCCTGACCCGTGCAGCCCGTGCAGCTGGGGGATGGGCCAAGTGTTGATGCTCAACCAACTTCCATGGGAACATCCACAAAACGCCATGGAATTCCTTGTGAACCAAGCCTGTTTGGGACAAACATGTTTGGGATTGTTTGGGGCTATGAAGGAACCGTTTATCAACAAAAAACCCATGAAGTCCTGCTTTTCTTTGCCAAAGTGCTCAACACAACACACCGTAGTACCTTTCTGATCGCGCTCTATGGGACCATCTTCCATCACTTGGCGCCTCTACACACCACAACACCACGACTCACCATGTCCAAAAGGCATTGAATCGAATATCTCCATCAGAATCACCATGATCCGCTATGAACTAGTTTGGGGGGGTTCCTAAAATGGAAGTAACGTACCCCACTATGAAGGGAACATCTTATAAAAGTGGATGATTTGGGGATACCCCTATTGTAGGAAACCACCATTTGGGGTGGAAGTGAGGAAAACCTAATAATCGTCACCAGTCCAAAATTTTGGTTTATGAAACCGCGATTCTACCGTGTTTCAGAATTTTATAGGGCTACTATCGGCATAATGCCATGAAATCTCCTTAGGATGGTCATACATCCTGATTGAACCCGTTCTGAAACCAATTTAAATCCATAATAAAATTAGATAAAATCCTTAATTAAGATGAATCATAAAATCAATAATTAAACTCCATAAATCAAACCATTGAAATCCTACCCTCCCACAAAAAAACACGTTTCCCCTCATGTTCCGCAACCGCAAGCCGCAGCTCGTCACATTTTTCCCCGCTAAAAGCGGCGTCAGAGGAGTTCCACCGCCACTGCTTGAAGCAAATCGATCTCAGAGAGGCCGTCCTGGACATCCGAAATGTCCAGCAGCGGTTTGTTCGTACCTTCAATTTATACAGGGGACTACTTTAGAGAAGGCATATTATAGGAACAAATCGCTCATTTCACACTTGAGTCACGTCCATGTATAATATTTAGAGATCAATCTACCCCTTAATTTAACAGAGCTATGAAAAATAGTTCATATTTAGAATATTTATGTACCGAAAAAATGAAGATTTTCCGTAGCCCTCCAGATTAATTTGGATTCCGGGTGGTTCTTGGAGGATCATCCCACGACTCGTAAGTGGTTAACAATTTTACTTTAGTAGCCATGAGACACATTTATGTTGGCTACTGATTAGTGTGAGGGCCCCCCCCTCAACAATTTACGTCTACTGAAAAAACGACCATTTTAGACGACCCCCCATCAACAATTTTTAGGATAGTCAACTTAAGTAAGGATTTCAATTGAAATCAATTTACTTTCAATTGATTTTCAATTGTTGATTTTCAATTTACTTTCAATTGAAATCAATTTACTTTCAATGGATTTTCAACTGACATCAATTAACTTTCAATTGATGTTCAATTGATTTTCAATTGATTTTCAATTTGCTTTCAATTCATTTCAAGGCTTCAACATAGATATGGCTTTCTAAAGTAAATGGACCAGCTTTACCTAAAGAAAGGTGGATAAAAGGTTTTGCGTTTTTTTTTCACCCCAAAAGTTTTTGTGCACAATAGAGTACCATCGAAACAATTACATTATTGAGGATCTGGGTCACTCATGGGTACCCCTTGAAAATTGTTTGGGTGCTGTTTTTTAATAAGGGTTTAATAAGGCATCTAATTATTTGAGAAACCTTGCATTTTCAAGGCTTTAACATGGATATGGTTTTCTAAAGTAAATGGACAAGTTTTCCAAAAAAGAAAGGTGTATTAAGGTGGATAAAGCTCCTCCTGAAAAACTATGTGGTGTTCTATCATCAACTAATGATAGTTGGGATATTTTTGCACCGTCGGGGAACATATAAACATCTATACAATCTGGTTATTTAACATAGGCATGGAAAATCACCATGTTTAATAGGTAAACCATCTATAAATGGGTCATCTATACCATGGCTATGTTAAATAACCAGAGGGTAATAATATTGAAATCCATGGCTGTTCCTCTGGAAATGATCTACATTCATGGTGGATTTTCCTACCATATCGAACTGCTAGTTTACTGGAGGGTAGCAGTAAACTTTCAACTTTCATCAGTTACCCTGTGGTAAACTAACATAGCTATGGAAAACCATCATGTTTTAAGGGAAAATCATGGAAAATCCACTATAAACGGCGGGGTGTCAACCAGTTTAACATAGTTTAACCCCCAAATCTCCAGCTGCAAGGCTGCAACCAACACTGACCACCAGAACTATCCCTTTTTTGGGGGGGAACCTTCACAACCCAAATCCCATGAACCCAACAAGCCATGCAGCTGGGATCAGGCGCATCTGGTTGGTGGTTGACCTACCCCTCTGAAAAAGTGATGGAGTGAAAGTCAGTTGGGATGATGACATTCCCAAGATATGGAAACATAAAAAATGTTCCAAACCACCAACCAGCAATGCAATTTTCTGGTCCTTCTGGTAGAGTTCAGCGAAGTCAGAAGTGGAAGGCAGGAAGAACCAGGGCGCGTGAACGATGCGATACTTCCAGCGATGCTGTCGCAGGAACTCATAAAACGCACGAAGCTCCTCGCGTTCAAAGTAGGGAAAGTTCAACAACTCGTCAAACACCAAGAGGTTTCCTGCAATTCGCAGCTGGTTCAGCAATAAAGTGCTTAAAAAGAAGGGAAGTCATGGGCATATTATAAAAACATCTCTCTCACTCTCACTCTTACTCTTGCTCTCTATCTCTCTCTATATCTCTCTCTCTCTCTCCCCTTCCATCTCATAGAAGGGACCATGGTCACTTGTGACCCTATCATCCGGTCACTTGTGACCCTATTATCCCCGGTCACTTGCGACCCTACTATCCGGTCACCTGCGACCCTATCCCTTTAATAACTCTCATCCCCCCCTGCGTTCCACCATACAATTGTCTCCATTCTACTTCTTTATTTAAACTTCCTCCCCCCTGCGTTCCACTATACCATTGTCTCCATTCTACTTCTTTATTTAAACTTCCCCCCCCTGCGTTCCACTAAACCATTGTCTCCTTTCTACTTTTCTTTTTAAACTTCCCCCCCCCTGTGTTCCACTATACCATTGTCTCCATTCTACTTCTTTATTTAAACTTCCCCCCCCCTGCGTTCCACTATACCATTGTCTCCATTCTATTTCTTTATTTAAACTTCCCCCCCCTGCGTTCCACTATCTTTTTTACTTCAAAACGTAGAAACAGTGAATAGGGTCACAAGCGACCAATGTCCCTCTCTGTCTCCCGCTCTATGCAATATATTCATATCTCTCATTATATTGCATATTGATGCATCTTGCCTATCCATCATTAGATGCTATATCAACCTATATCATTCTACATCAACCATGTATCCGTTCTATCCATTCTTGCCCACGGGCTTCGCGCCAACTATCCGATAACGATCCCAAGCTGTGTCCTGCACGGAGGAACTTGGCCAAACCAAATAAGACCTCCATGGCCGAACTGTACATGTCGCAATCCTGCACTGCAACGAGGCTTTAACATGCTTTAACTATCAACAATTGGGGGAACAACCCACCTTTTACATCTGACATTATCTGACATTATCTGACATTGAACCCGCCAACCTGTGAGTTTTACCCAGTTTAAACAGTTTCAAGCTGGTCTAACTATCAAAGGTGGGGATGTTGGGTCGATCAATGCGCTGATAAACAGTTTTTAAATGGAAAACGGAATGGCTTGTATCTCCACAGATGCGGGCTTCCGGTTTCAAGTTTCACTTCAAAAGAAGATTTGCGACCCTGAAGTTCATCTTCACATATATATATATATGTGTATATATATAATATATATATATATAACTGTGGGTGTGTGCGTGGTCTCTCCCGTACTCAAATGTGGCTGGCCGGACAATCCCCGGAGCTTCCAGCAAGTCATGTCACCCACGAGGTGGGCCTGGTGTTTTTGTTTAGCGGGTGGGGGATGGGCGGTTGTAACGTGCTTGACGACCTTAAGACAGATCAGGAACGATAATAGATTACAATAGATTATAATGATTATAATAGACCGTCTTTGACTTTGCATCTGCTATGATCTGCTTGTATGACATGCATTATTCATCTATATTCATCTCATCATCAACATGCCAACTACTGTATTCAAAAAAATGCCATCATTCATGAGCATCCGAAGTTGGTGCTCTACAGAGTTTTTTTGGAGTATGGTAGTTGGATGTAGTTGGCATGTTGATGAGATGACTAATGCATGTCATACAAACAGATTTCACTGTAAAATACCGCTTTAATTTTGTAATATATTATATATACAAGGTGGTGCCCCCCAGTTATAAGTTGGTTTATAAGCCCATTAACTATAGATATATCACCTATAAACCATAGTTATTGGAGTTATAAACCAACTTAGCTATCTTGGGGGCACCACCTTGTACACATTCCTGATCTTTTCTCTCCCCTGTTGAATGATGAAAAAGCCACGCCCGCCTCAAGGGGGCCATCATTCCTGCATCCCTTGTTGCTGAATGTGGCGTGCTTTCAGATAAAGCCCACATCTCTGTACTTGTAGGATTGTGTCCGCTCTTGTTGGTATCATATTTTTTTGACTCTTAATTGTGTGTGGATCAATATCATACATGAATAGAGGGGGGTCCCAAATTTTGTCCCCCAGATTGAAATAGAAAAATGGTCATGTAATTAATGACCCAATGACCCAATGTTTTCCAACATTGTCAACACTGAGAAGGTTCACTCTGGCAAAGGGGTGTTTTTAAATAAGGCTTATTAATAAAGGTTAGTAAGCCATACCAATGCTTATCCAAGCTTGCCAAACATTAATTGTACATACTTGGTCAAACCATATATGCGCACAAAACCAACGGTTTTCTATTTCAATCTGGGGGTACAAAATTTGCGACCCACCCCCCTATTCAGCTATGACAATATCGGTTTCATATAGGTTCACTCTTGGTTTATTTGCCCCCTTCACCCCAAAAAAAGACCTAAGGCCCATCACCATCGCCAAGCTTCAATGTGCAGGAGCCGAATCGTCACGTCCTTTCTTTCGGTGGCCTCCAGTGCCGCAACAAAGGCGGGAATGGTCTCATTGAACCAGCCGGGAATGAGCCTGAGCGAGTTGAGCGGAGATTTACCCTCTGGTGAACTAACATAGCAATGGAAAATGGCCATTTATAGTGGATTTTCCCATTAAAAATTGTGATTTTCCATTGCTATGTTAGTTCACCAGAGGGTAAACCCATGGTTTCTTTTCTCCTAGTTTTTTAAACATTGGAAGAAGATAGCTGCAAGCTGAGGCCCCCTTAATAGATAAGGTATGATAAGGTGATACCTTGATACCTAGGTGAAATCTTGTTTATGAGGGGATATGAATGTACTGAAAATTGGGTTAGCTCGGAAATCTTGGATGTTCACCCCCTGACAAATTAGATAAATTAAAGGGAGTTTATTGTTTATAGGTTGTGACCAGTTTTCCAATCTTGGCATCTGGGCCTTCCTAGACTGGGGAAGCATATTTTTCATTGGAAAAGAATGTTTCATTCAAAAATTCCGCCAAACCTATCCAAATGATTGTCTAACTGGGATGGTTTCAAGGAAAATCCAAAGAAAAACGGAAGAACAACATGCTGTGTTTTTCTCAATTATTGGCCCATGAAATGTGATGATCAATCTTAGCAGTCGGGCTGGTGGCTGGGGACTCCCAAAGGCGCCGAAATGGGGTCAATCAATTTGGTGCGGGTCAATTTCCGCCAAGCGAGAGTCTTTCAGAAACCCCAGTCTTTTTGTATGGGCCTGCATAATGTCCGGCTGAATTATATAGTACTTCACTAACCCAAACATAGCTGAAACTTGCGGCCAGCTATAGGGATGATTCCCTACATTCACCAACATTCGTCACGAGCTATGAAATTCATCCTGATCGACCAAATATGACAAAATGCACCAAAATGCAATTTTCCCCATTGTTGATGGTTACCCTTTGGTAAACAACCACATAACTATTGAAAATGGCCATAGAAATAGTGGATTTACTATGACTTACCCATTAAAAATAGTGATTTTCCATAGCTATGTAAACGTTTACCAGGCCGGGTCAATGACCCCATGTTGCGACGATCTGATGAAACTGGTCCGACGAAATCCATCATGAGCCCAGCCTCACGTTCTCCTCCACTTGAGGTAACTGACCTACTGCGAAACTGCTGGCGCCGAAGCTCAAAGCGCCTGGAATGTCGGAGCCATCCCGCCAAGCCTCAACGCGGCAATGGAGATCCTTGGAATTCCCATGTTTGGAGGGTTAAATCCCACCAAGTTTCATGCTTCAATCTCCATGAACTATCATAAAATCACCAGCAGCCAGGCCCATAACCATATATAACTACTAAGACTCCCCATCTGTGATAGGTAAATCACCATTAGATCAATATGCAATCCAATTAAATCCCATTAATGGATGTAACACAATAATCAACCATCCCCCAAATCACCATAAATAGGTGGCATAAACATAAACCATTCCAAAATGAGTGGTTTAGGGCATTGTTTTAACCACATTAATTATATCACCACATGTTCCTATTGATTCCCAATTTGTTTCCCATTTGTTGCCCTTTCTTCTAAAACAGTGGATCCAGGCGCAGCTGGAAGGCCCCGGAAGGAATCAAAGCCATAGAGTGTCACATCGTGCAGACCGCGTGCCAGGAAGTTTAAACTGTCACCCTGGAAGACACCAAACCTTGGGGGCGAAGGATTTTTTGGAAATTCACCAGGGAATTTCCATGATAAACTTCCGGGTGAAACATTGTTTTATTTAACATCAAGTTCAATTTTTTGGGGGGGATCAATGGAAACTATAGGATAAAATAAAACATGGTGAAACATTGTGGTTTAACGGCTTAAGCATCAAGATAGTTTTTTTTTCGGGAGATTTAAGTGGGGTCAACCATCAAACATGACAATTGTGGCTTTTTGGAATCTTTGAAGAGAATTTTCGCTAGGATAATAAAAAGCAAAAAACATGACAACTGGTGAAACATGGTGATTAACTAGCCATCAAACATGGTGATTTAAAACATGTTTGGACCACCACATTCGATCCCATGGCGTAAAACCGAAGGAGAAATTCACCCAAAAACTCAATATAGAACATGCTAAATATACTGACGATATATTACGTTGCAATATCATACGGTATTCTCATATGGGTGTGTCTGAAAATGGGGACATCCATAAAATCGCAATCATTTACATAGGGAAAATCATTCTAAACCACTGGTACAATGGGGTATAGGGTATACGCTATTTTCAGACAAACCCATATGAGGGTTTCCATAAATGGAGATTCCGGGATACCCCAAAATTGTTCGTTTATAGTGGACAATCCGAAAATAAATTGGATGATTTCGGGGTTCCCCTACTATTTTAGGATACCTCCATATACCCTCCGGTAAACTAACATAACTATGGAAAATCACCATTTATAATTAGTGGATGTGCCCATGAAAAATGGTGATTTTCCACAGTTATGTTAGTTTACCAGAGGGTAACTTCTTATCCTTCAACAGCGCCACTGAAAAACGCTGCTTCCACCAGGCCGCTCCAGGTACAGCTCCCGTCCCAACGGCTTCGTTGACAGCTCTTCGAGGATCAGCTGCAAAAGGTAGGGTTGACCCGGGCCATACGGCATCTGCAGAGTGGGTGAGATCACCATGGCATCCTGGAAGGGTCCCAGTTTTTTCCCGAAATTCTGGAGGGAAAAAAACAAAACACCGAGGTGACAAAACATACAAAAGCCTGAAGAATATGGTGATGAAGGTCATTTTGAATGCTTTAAAACATACTCCAATATGACATGGTCCTTACTCTTTTTTGCACAAGAATGTATCGAGCCATGCAAACGTACCTGTTTCCTTCTGGCATCCAACTCTACTGGGCTTTCCATTTCAAAATATAGATTTGGAGTTCATGGGGGCCACAACATGGCCACACGTGTATGTAGATTGTTTGACAGGCCAAACGAGATTGGTCCCTGAAATGATTGGTAATGGAGGGAATTATGATCAAACGCATGAATGATGCCTGAATATATCCAAAAATATGGTAATCACCCCCCAAAAAACAAACAGAAAAAAAAACCTTTACCCCGATTCTAGAATCGGATTTTACCTGTTCATACATGTTCCAAAGCCTTTTTTTGGGGGTGTTCCAAAACTCATCCCCTTCCAAATCTTCCCAGATTCTGTGGGTTCCGTCCTGCAACTGGTCCCAGAAAGCGCCCAAGGTTTCCAGCGCAGGATCCACCGGCCGCGCGCAGCGCAACGAAGTGGTCGAAGTCGAGGCACAGCCGAGGAGTTCAGCAAGGGAAGTGGGCCCTGGCCGCCTAGGATGAGGAAACCACGTTAAAACATCAAAAACACCTGCTTCCAACCATAAATGGTTCGTTTAAAAAAAACAAAACTATGGGATTATATAATATAGTTCAACCAAATGGAATGCAGAAATTATAAAGTTGATTTGTCTACCACATTTAGTTCGAAGATCTTCAGGTGATTTGTTTCATCATGACTTTGCCGAGTATGTGGAAGCGCGGCTTCTGCAACATCTGACCCTCAGGGTCCGGACTAATAGAACTCAAACCTAGCTTGATGCAAAATTCACCATGTAGTTCAATGATTCTTCCATTGAAACCATGCATTTATAGAGGAATATAGAGGAATATAGAGGATTTGAAAACCATAAGTATCCAATCTTACCGTAGCATTTCACCAACTTGCAAAACCTACACCAAGACACTCACAGTTCAGAGCAGCCAGTGCCACTTGGGCCATTTGGTTCAAATGTGGCCACTGCAGCACTCCTTCGCAGATCTGCACAAAGTTCCAGCCCAGCTGTGCCTGGATCTGAAGATTTGTCTCAAACCAGCTTCGCCAGGAACGGGCCTAGGGATTGGTTTTGGGCACGGTTTTGGGGAATGAAATCCATTGTTTGGAATGGAATCTATTGAAGCTATTGGAAGAATCGTTGGAATCTATTCGAATGGCAGGAGGGTTGAGTAATAGGCTATTGGAATAATCATAATAAGCATTGCTAAAATTGATACTATTTTTAAATTATCTGAGAATCTAATTGGGTTGATTGGGTATGATGAGGCTATTGGATAAACAATGATAAAAAGTCGGCTGGAAGCTATAAAATGTTATAACATGCTATAAAATGCTATAAATATGGTTAGATCACCTGAACTGAATAGTCCCTAAATGTGTGCGAAATCTTCAAGAAAATCTATCCCAACTCTGGCAAGATGTCATCCGAAGCAGAGAGCGGCGAGGCGGTAGATGGGGGTGCCCCCAGATCATCCATTTTATCAATGGGAATTCCAGGATCCTAAAATGGAGGTACGTTGGTGCCATATTTCTGGCCATATTTTGTGGTACACCCCCTTACATAGCCCTGAAAAATAGGCCTTATGTATGGTAGGTGCCTCCAATTTGGGTTCCTGGAATGGCTATTGATTTTAGTTTTTTGATTTGTTCCATTATAATTTATATAATTATATAAACATCTATAAACCATCCATCTTCGGCTACCCCCATGACTTAGACTCCATGACTCTGAAAGCACTAGGGACTGCACACATTACCATGACTTAGATTCCTGGATTCACCCTGAACCGGAAGGCTGAGGGGAAATCAGGCTTGATGTTTCCAACCGGTTTTGCCGCAAGTAATAGGTTCTTCCCCATGTTCCTTCTCCAAAGCCTTCCATGAAAATATGTCCACTAGCCATTGGTTGATTTCCGAAGTTTCATGGTTAAACTGGCTTAAACTATGTTAAATTTCATTTGTTCACAACTATTTTGATGGATTTAATGGTCAACTCACACATTCTTCGACCATTTTTAACATTTCCAGCATTTTTGAAGGGGAAAACTCTGTCACCGCACATCCACCCATCCACCTACAATACCCAGGTACCAGTGCGAGAGCTTTTGCACTATGTCCTTGCAAACCCAGAGATCCAGAGAAACCACGAAGGCCGTACTCAACACCTGAAGGCCCCTGACCGTGACCCTCCCAGTTTTTGCTTACCACAAACAAGACAGATTCGAGTTAAAAATCACAAGGTGGATCGAATCAAACCACCAGGTACGAGTTTCACCACAAGAAATTCAAATCATCAGCGCCCAAAGCTGTTTTGTAAAGCCTTTCAGCCCCATGTCGCATGCTTCTTGCCCCAAACCTCTGGAATTTCACTGGAAACCTTGAGATGTGAACGCCTTGGTCCCCAGATCCTTCAACTCAGCAGGTTTCTCCCCATCTCCGGAGGATCCCAGAGAAACAGTGACTTTCTCTGTGGGATGATCTTCATCTTCCAAGCACCAGGAAGTGACTTCCCCAATTGAAATCTTTATCCCAGATCCATCTCCATCTATCTCATTAATACTATTAATCCCTTTTTTTTTCTCTCTCTCTCTCTCTATATATAACGTGTATATATAGTTTATATGCACATGTATCTCTATATATAAATGATTATAAATTATATATATATATATAAATTCATATTTCATGGATCATCTCCATCTCCAGCCAAAGCACCATCCGTTCCATTCCAAGCCCCCACCGCATACGCCATCTCCAGCGCCACGAAGACCAGCGGACAGCCCTGCAGAGCCTCGAAGAGGTTCTGCCAGCCGACGGCGCCGGCGGAAACGCGGAAGCCGAAGGCCCCAAGGTAGGCGTCCACACGCTCCTGGAGGTTGGAAGGCTGGGGGGCTGGATGTTTGCAACGGAAAATCCAGGGGAACAATGGTGGGTGAGCATGGGAAAAACATGGGAAAAACCATCAAACAGGATGGGAAAATGATGGTTTAAAACATCAAACATGTGATGGAATCGGAATTATGGTGGTTTAACATGATTGACCAATGATGGAACATGGTGATTTATCGCTGGAGTGGACCATCGCGACATATCAAAAACTGGTAAATTTATTATGTTTGAATCATGGATAGATAATGGATACAAATGAATATGAATAAAATTGAATAAATATAAACAAATATAAGGATTTTATATATATATATGTATATGTATATATGTGTGTGTGAAAAAAAAATAAATAAACGAATTACTGGACAATTAGTGGATGATCAATGGATGATTACTGGATTTAATGGATCAGTGGATTGTTCTTTTGAGAAAATCGCGGTTGAAGCTGGCTGTTTTTTTAAATATTTTTTTAGCCCCCCAAAAGGCCAGAGGCATCCTGCAAATGTTCACTTCATTTCTGGGAGAAGATGAGTTGGCTTGAGGGGATGAGTTGGGGTAAGGACAGTGGAACCATTGCCGCAAAAATGGAACACAAAATAAAGATAAATAAAGAATGATCGAACACTTGGGGTTTAGTTTTTTTCGCAAACATGAATGCAATGGAATTTTCAAACAAAGCCAACAATTTGGGTGTGTTTTCCGCAAGGTTTTGGATGTTTTTTTGTTGGTGAATGTTTTTCTGATCAAAGCAACCAGATGCTTTAGGGATGAAGACGGGCAAAGAAGTTGAAACTGGATAACCCTATAGGGCCTATAGGGTATATCAATGGATTGGTTTAAGGGAAAATTTACAGGAAACCATAGATTTTCCCATTAAATATGGGGCTTTCCTGTAAATTTTCCCTTAATCCAATCCATTGATTATATGGACTGCACCAGAATGCAATCCGTATATCCGTATGCGATATATCTACTGGGTGCATCCGATTGTGAGTGGATAAGCATGCGGCAATACAAGCTATGGAAGATCCTATTCCTGAGTACCATGAGTTGAGGTAGCTGGATGGGATAGGTCAAAAGTCATACAAGGTGGTGCCCCATAGTTAGCTAAGTTGGTTTATAACTCCAATAACTATGGTTTATGGTAGATATATCTATAGTTAATGGGGCTTATAAACCAACTTATAACTGGGGGGCACCACCTTGTAGATGTCTCATCTCAATATCGGGCTGTGTCTTGAAATGGGGCAAGAAACCTGCAATGAATTCCAGCCATAAAAAAGGAAAATGATGATGAACCATGGGTTTTTGGGATATTTTGGGGTCGATTTTCAGTCAAACCCATCTCAGATATTTCACAGCATCTTTTGAGTCTTTGGATTTTTTCAACCAGTTTATCTTTTGAGTCTTTGGAATTTTTCAACCAGTTATAACCAGTTTCCCAACAAAGCCAAGTGTCTAAACCTGCCAAAATCCGCTGGTTTGGAGGAACAACTCTGGGCTGAGCAAATGCCTCACTTGCCAAATCGTGCGAAAAGCTGCTGCCACGAAACTTTACGTCATGTTGTGGGATATGTATGTTGTTTCTGTTGATTTTTTCAAAAAATCAACTAGCCATAGATCTATATATAGCATAGATATATACATATATATATATATACCCTCCGGTTTTTTTGACATAGCCATGGAAAATAGCCTATTTATAGATGTTGTTTGTTTGCTGATTTACCTATGAGAACTGGTGATTTCATATGAGGAAAACATATCTACCCCAAGGACCCCAAAGCGCCAGTGGTCCAGGGGCCCAGGGCACCAAAGGAATGGCCCTTCCTATAGAAAACCATGAGACAAACTGTAGAAAACACACAGAAACCCATAGAACAACCTTAGAAATCAAGAAAAAACAAGAAAACTATATATATATATATGTATAGTCGTAGAATGTTGTAGAACATCCATGCAAATCCCGACTTCGATGAGCCGAATTACCCACACAATGCAAATAGCAAGTATAGATATCATACAGACTATGCAGAAGTACACGAAAACACCTCAATAGCCATCAACTTGGTTATTGGGTTTGTTGTAACTTACATAATTGCCGGACCTCATGTTGATAATGGGGCCCTTTGGCTCCCCATCTACTACCGATATACTGATTATATATTGATTATATAGCTTTCTAAGCTCTCTTGGCTCGGCTAAGCCTCTTTGAATACATATTACCAGCATTGTTTGTTGTTCAAAATAAATAAATAAATATATATAAATATGTGAACTCTTTGCTGGATGAAAAAAAATCATCTACGGATTTTCGGCAGCAACTAGGCTCTGTAGTTCTCCCATGTTCTCCCGTCCAAACCTAATGTGTTTGGCCAGCCATCATGACCTAGCATGACTAATTAAATATCAAACTGTACCCAGCACTTTCGCAAACATTCCTGGATTTTGCCTATCCTAGACTTTTTCGAATTTCACTCATCCAGAAATAGTCAAAGCGGAAATCTAGAAATTGACTTCATGAAACTTCTACCCAGCAGGCCCAGCAGCTTGCTCCAAGTATTGGATCACCTCGATAAAGGATCCATCTCTGGCACAGGCAAAGTCTTCCACCGCCGCCTCCACTGTATACACCGCCAAGACGACGGCCACACGGAGGAGCTTCGAGAGTTTCCGGCCCATGGCATCCCATGGTGGTTGCCAAATGCCATGGATCTCAGGGTTGAACAAACCAACATTGGATTTGTCATATCTCATACATGATCTCATATACCATGATATGTTTGATGTTTTTGTTGGTGATCATATTTCATGTTTCCGGTTTGTCGCTATAGTTTTGGTATGTTGTCTTGTTTGTTTCCATGAACTTTCTGCTTTTGTTGGTTGCAGCTAGTCTCCGATCCGTTAAACATTCGGAGGCTTTAAACCGACAAATATCATGGGGAATATGGGGATAGAACGGTTGGGTTCACCATTCTCACACCCCAATAAAACCCCGCTGGCGAATGCCAAATAGAAGCCGCTTTTTTGAACAACTGCCCGCAACACGTGGAATCTCAAAGATGGGGCCAAGCATCTTTAGCACAGCACCCAGTGGTGCCCAACTCATGACTGGTTGCTGGGTGAGTTTGATTGCTTCAACATGTTGGTACCAAAACATACCCGGCCTGGTAAACATACAAAAAAACTATGGAAAATCACAATTTTTTGAATAGGCCAATAGGCAAATCAACAAACTAAATGGCCATGCTCAGTAGCGAACTGTTAGTTTACCAGGCCGGGTATCCCTAAAACCATAGGAACAAAACCAAAAAAAACAGGACATCTGCAGCTCATTTTTCCATATTTTCTATGCAAAACTCGAGGGTCATCGGGGCAGCCCACCTCCTGTTTCTCCCTTTCAATTCGCTCTTTGTTGACCAACGCACTTTGAAGCTGTTGGCTCCTGAGATCGCCAGCAGTTAGTCCCATTGGCGGTGTCGGTTGACATAGCACGCATAACTCACATAACTATGGAAAATCACCATTGAGTTCGTGAATTTTCCCATGAAAAATGGTGGATCTTTCCATAGTTATGTAAACGTTTACCAGAAGGTAACCTGGAAAAACGGTTTGCATATCACGATCATATTGTTGAATCACTTATACTTATATATATATAATTATATATACGTATATATATATATATATCCTGACTAGTGTTCGTCAATTCCCATATACGGTGGCTTCTGCTCTATCTTTTCTTGTCGCCTTTGCACCAGCACGTCATTTTTCAACTTGTTCAGAGGCCCTGAGTCCACAAGTTCAGAGGGCACACATCAAAACATCTTTTCTCTGTCTAGCTACTGATTCTCGAACTTCTCTTCGTATTCTTCTTGCAAGGCTGCCAGTTTGCTTGCTGCTACGCTACCTCAGCCCAGGAAGCCAAGGTCTCTGAACAAACAAACTTCGAGGTGACTGAACACGAGCCAGGAGCCCGAAACACACGGCGGTTGGATGTATTGCGGAACATTCTGGAAGTCAAAGAATCGATGTGCTCAAAAATTAGAACTCTGAATACCTAGCAAACCTAGTGGAGCCGAATTGCTGTTCATTGCTGGCTAGAAATTGCAATTAGCTGACAGCACCAAAATCAAAAACAAAACATAGAGTCAACGGCCATATTTTATGCCATTGCCATTCATACAATCCCACGTAAATCATATGTAACCAATTTTTTAGGGTAGTGCAAGGTGGTTCCTGGTTGTGTCATTTTCCATGGATTTCTCCATGAATCTTCCATGGTACCCGTGAGATTTCGCCGATTCCGCCGAGGCGCTGCTACTCCTCCGCAACTTTGGGCGACTCCGCTTGGGAGCGACTTCGGCATCCGGCTCCACCTGGAATCAGCTGGTGATTTCGCAACCATCCACAGTAGTACTACCATGAGCTAATGGGAGAAAGAGAGAGAGAGAGAGAGGGAGATATTATAATACATATATATATATATACATATACATATATATATATATATGATCGCCGTTGGAATATAAATAGGGGGAGGACCCGGGCTCACAGTTTGTAGTGTTGACCTTGCCTGCCCAGGTTGCCACGCTACAACATACAATGTCCAGCCAAACACCCTTCCCAAACACCCTTCGGCAAAAAATGCAAACGAGGTTGGTGGTCACCACTACAAAACAGCAACCATGCCCAACATGAGTATTCGTGTTTTTTTTCAGCTGGTGCTAGCTACCACTTGCAGTTTGGATTTTGTGGCGAAGCCTACTTCCCATCCTGAAAATATGTACCCTTTGGACCCCTGTGGTGCGCCACATGAGATTTGCATTTGTTTCGTGGGAACATGGTTCATCTGTGTGTTCAGCTGACAAATGGCCCTCTCCAGGAGGGCTCCCCAAAAAAAGTTCTTCTGGCCGAGACTTGAAAGAGGAAAAATGTGGGACAAAATGTGTTTCAAAATCAAGCGTGTGAAATTTTAGCTTGTAGGTTTTGAATAAAGATCCATTTTTTCTGCCCCCTGGCTCTGACCAATCGCGGTAAAAAATCTCTGAGCCATGCTTTTGTTCTACAATCTAAGTGTGCCCAAACTAGATTAGTGCTCTTTTTGCCCATACAAGTTCAAATGCATGCTCAGTGTTCCTTTTGAAATTTTAGCCGCAAATCTGAGATCCAACGTGTGATTGGCATTTTGTATGGGCTATTCTTGCAACTGCCCTTGAAGCAACCAGCTCTGCTTTGATCATTCTAGAGCAGATCTTGTTATTTCCCTTGGCAACCTTTGTAACCAATGAAAATCAATGCAATCAAAAATTTGATCTCCACAATGCACTCAATGGCCCAAGAGGTGCCCTGCAAAATGCGAAATCCTGAGGCAAATCTCTAGAAACCGCATTTTTGTCCGTACATGGAAGCACTACAAAATGCCAAAACAGGATCATTTTCTAAAGATAAAATGGTTCTAGTACAAAATTCAGAACACAGGATATACTTGGGGTACGTTTTAATGCCGCTGCTTTGTACAGAAGTTTAAGGTGGTTATCTTTTTGGTCACTGGCGGGTTGCACAAGCACCAGTCACCGATACGATACGTGTCATACGTACGTACATCTCAATAATTGCCGCCCTCTCTCTTGCTCTCTGCGTGTATATATATATATATATATGTGTGTGTGTTTGTATGGTATGGTATGGTATTGTATGGTGTGGTGTGGTATGGTAGTGTATTGTATTGTATATTGTATTGTATATTGTATTGTATATTGTATTGTATATTGTATTGTATATTGTATTGTATTGCATTTTGTTTTGTATTGTATTGTCTGTAATCCAATGTAATGTAATGTATATAAAGGTATGGTATGTATGTTATGTATGTTATGTATGGTATGTATGGTATGTATGGTATGTATGGTATGTATGGTATGTATGGTATGTATGGTATGGTATGTATGGTATGTATGTTTAGGTATGTTTAGGTATGTTTAGGTATGTTTAGGTATGTTTAGGTATGGTTAGGTATGGTTAGGTATGGTTAGTTATGGTTAGTTATGGTATGGTATGGTATGGTATGGTATGGTATGGATGTATGCATGTATGCATGTATGGATGTATGGATGTATGGATGCATGGATGTATGGATGGATGGATGGATGGATGTATTTATGTATTTATGTATGTATGTATGTATGTACGTATGTATGTATGTTATGGTATGGTATGGTATGGTATTGTATTTGTATTCGTATTGCATTGTATGCAATGTATTGTAATGTAATGTAATGTACGTGCGTACGTATGTATGTATGTATATGCATGCATGCATGCACAAACAAACTCTGGATTTTCTATTGTCAGGTTAAGTGCCTAACCTTTAATTTTCCATGCAGCACGTTTTGGCCACGCACCTCAAGCTGCACGCTCTTGGTCCTGGTCTTTTGAGTCCCCTGGGCAGCCTGGGCAGGATGCGGTCACCACTGGGCTGCGCAACTGGTGGATGTTGATGGCTAAAACCACTTGAAGCAGGCAGAAGCTGGTTGGTTGATAAGGGGTTACCCGCTCATGGATTGTGATAATCCCACACATAACCCCATAATTTCCGTAGAATCATCAACCAAGCATCATTTATCAGTTATATCCACCTATATATATATCTCTCTCTCTCTCTCTCTCCCCATAGTTTGATGCTTAAACCCCTGTGAAATCTCATGTCATATATAATCATCAGCCAAGCCGCATTTGTTAGTTATATCCACTTAGATTTATATTGACTTATATCCCAATGTTTTTTTCATGTGTTTCCACCCATCTGAAAAAAAGTCAAATGGGACTACTGTTCCCAATATATGGAAAAATAAAATTCATGTCCCAAACCACCAAACAGATATAAATGTTGGTACCCTCTGGTAAACTAACATAACTATGGACAATCACCATTGTTTATGGGAAAATCAACTATAAATGGCCATTTTCAATAGGCTATGTCACAAATTACCAGAGGGTAAAACCCCCAAACCAAATCATCCACCCTGCGCAGGGGATAGCCGCATAGCCCGGTGCCGGCCTCGGTGGTTGCCTCAGTTGCCTCCATCTGTGCCAGCTCTTCCATCTCTTCCGCCAAACTGGCACCTGGCAGGGGATCCGAATGGCAGCCCAATGGCATGGAATGGTGAGCTCAACAAATAAGAAACATTACCATCAAAAATTGGTATATATATATATATATATAGATATATATAGATAATGATATGTATATATATATAGATATATATATATGGAATATTTAGCGGTAAATTAAATATTTATAGTTGCCAACGTCAAGGCCAAAGAATTTTAAAACTAACCATCGAAGTAGTACTTCACTGACTAAAATGTCTACACGATTCGGAGAATCAACATCAGATTGCGCAAAAAAACAAAAAACTGGTTGGTGGTTTCAATCCCTCTGAAACATATGAAACGATGATGGCATTCCCAACATATGGAAAGTCATAAAAGTCATGTTCCAAACCACCAACCAGAAAAAAGTGGTTGGAAATTTGGACCACCTCGAATTCCAGACCCAACCGGGGACCACCACCGGCCTCCCACAAAATCCACTTGAGCGGTGCCCTTCTCATGCTTCAAGGCCTGAACAGGCGGCATAATTTCACCAGGGATGATCATTGGCGGCATCCACTTCAGGAATAGAATCATCAATTGATTTCGATAGGGGGTCTCCTTTTTTGAGGGCCTAATTATATACACACACATATATATATATATATGTATATACTGTATATATATATATATATATGGGTCTGGTTGGTGGTTTCAACCCCTCTGGAAAATATGAAAGTCAGTTGGGATGATTCTTCCCAATCTATGGAACAATAAATTCATGTTCCAAACCACCAACCAGATCTCCCCGCCATCGGCACCCCCAAGCCACCGCCATCCATCGGTCCATCGGCACCTTGTCCAAGTGATGCGCCTCCAGGACATCACGCATCTCCAGCAGTTCCTGCTGCAGCTGAACGTTCTCAGCCTCGCAGCGCTCCAGAAAACCTGGCTGAAACGAGGCCGAAACGAGGGGAGGACGTGAAGTTTGACAAAAAAACTAAGGGCTTTAGAAAATCCCACTATAGTCCCATATTTGGGACTGAAAATGATGGAAGGAACCTCTAAATCCATTGGTGAACCAACATAAAAACCTCTAAAATCCATTGGTAAACCACCATAAATAAACCATGGTCCATAGCCATATAGTATGGGTATAGACAATTTTCAGAAAGATGCATGTTCTTGACCATTTTGGGAATGCAAAGTTTTCATGGTCAATGGCGTCAAAATGGCTAAGGAACCCCCCAAAAAAGCATAGGACTTTGAGGGAATGGGGGAATGGGATTATTCTTTATACAAGCGGGACATTTTGGACATGTTGGGGGGTGCTCCATTGCTGTGCGTCAGCTGTGGTCTATCAATTAGCGACCTACGGCAAAGTCACCAGTCAGGCTCCCGCATCATTCAGCACCAGTATCCAGTTCCCCCACTAAGAATCATCCACTTCCACCTATCCATGTGTAAAATAAATGGAAACATACTATTAGAAACTTACAGCAAATACACCCAACCCAACAACAAACACATGCATATATATATATATATACATAGAATTATGAATCTTGAGAATCTTTCATACAAATATATAGCTACATACATATGATATATTATATGATATATGATACAAGAGATTTATACACAGCTTCACATGCCCACCTTGGATCTCTTGGGATGCGGATCTAAGGTCACTGCAGTACCTGGAGAACATCATGGGAGGGTCGAAGATTTTTCCAACAAGACATGAGGCACAAATAAATTAGAAAAATAAAATTGTAGAGATTTTTTCGAAGATATTTCTAAAGATTTGTTCTTCATGTCTTGCATTAATTTATTTATAATAAATATTCAAATTATGGATTATTATCATAGATTATTATTATCATAAAGATATTAAATCAAGAGATCTAACTTATCTGAAGATATTTACTTAATTACAAGAGCTGTAAAAATAAATTAAATAAGCTGATGATATAATGGGGATGATATAATGGATATATAAGCTGATCAAAATCTTAAGATTTAATAGATAATATTAAAGATATATCATAAGAAGACCCCATGTGAGCCAATCTCGATTTATTGGGCGAGGCATCGTGGCTCAGCACCGGAGGTTAGGCTGTTCAACTGGCAAGTGCCGTATTTGGCTTCATCAAACATGGCTAGATAAATCCACCAGCTATTCCATCTTTGATTACCCGAGGGTAGATCCACTACTATCCCATTGTTATCCCGTGATTTATACCTATTTAACCATATAAAACATCATAAATCCATATTAAACTACAATGTTCCCATCATGATGACAGTCCTAGGCTCGGTTTTGCTAGGTGAACTTCTGAAGTAAAACTGGGTGGGGCACTGCTGCAGTTGCATATGCTGCTCCTGTCGAAGGTTTTGGAAGTAAATCTGCTCGCTGGTCAAAATCCAGGGCGTTCTTCCAGGATGAAACATATTCATACAACTGAATATGTACAAATATATATATATATATACACATCATATAAATTCATATAATACATATGTCGCAGGCTTATACTTAACCACTTTGTATTGGCTTCTAAGGAAATGATCATCCCAAGGTGGCTGGACCTCCAGGCCCATCAGAATCCCAGGGTTATTGGTCCAAAAACCTCCAGTTTTGGGTCACAAAACCGGCTATAAACCACTTAAGGTACCCCGGAAATCCACAGGATGATGATCATTTTCTCCGTGAACATGGCCTTGGGGGCTAAATCTTCAAGTTTCAAGCAGCAGGGGCATGTTCCATGATTCATTGGCTCACCATTTTTAGTAGTAAACCACCAGCATTCTCAGACACATCCAGGGACCCTGGGTCCCGCAATTCCAAGCAGTTTGATGGTTGCAGTTAAGGTTATGGGCATAATTCACCATGGCTGTAGACCCCCCAGAAGTTGGCTTATAACATGTTAAAAGTTGGCTAACCCCCATCTCAGAGTTTTTTCCTATCAACTTAGTTCACTGGAACTGGGAACCACGTGACGCCACCATGCCCTTGACTTTTTTCTTCCGTTACATTACGGGTCAGGTGCGGATGCGGCCGCCGTGCGCAGGTTTCCAGGTCCCCTCAAAGTAATGATGGACGATGGGCTCCAGAGCCTGGAGCGTTGGCATAAAATTCCAAGGAGATTTTCATAGATTTTCAATGGGGAGTCACCATCCACCATTAACCATCCATTTCTATCAGGGATTCTATGGGGGTTTATGGGAATTTCCATGGTGATGATATGCGATCAATGGAATATGAATGGCTAATTAATTGGGATAAATGATGATAAGTGAATGGATTATAATAGCTGCTTTAATAGCTAATATGAATGGAATGTGAATGGCAACCCTCCAGTAAACAGATGTAAACAAGGAGGCTACCCTCTAAACGGGATCCGGGATCCCTATAAATAACCATTAAATAGTAGGGGAAATGATGATAATCCATTGGAACCGGGGATGTACCCTCCTGGTAAACTAACATCAACATCCATTCACCATCATGAACCATCCATTGAAGGGATTCTATGGGGTTTTGTGGAAATTTCAATGCTGATATGGGATTTCGGGGGATATACGCTCTGGTAAACGAACAGTTTGCGAACTGGAAAATGGCCATAGAAATAGTTGATTTACCCATTAAAAATTGTGATTTTCCATAGCCATAGTTATGTTAGTTTACAAGGGGGTAGAGAACATAGGATTCACCATGAAAAAAACTTGGTTAATATGGTTCAACTATGAAAACAAAGGGATTTAAGTTCATGATGATAAAATGGGATGATTTGGTTGAAGATTTGGGAAACATGTCCGAACCTCATGGGTTGACAAACTACGACAAACTCATATATTGGGGTTTTACTGACAAACGTGGAGGTATAGACCTGCCGATGTGAAGCATCCATCATCAATGATCCCACTAATCCATATATAATGATTACTCTCGGGTAATTTAACATAGCTATTAAAAATGGCCCATTTATGGATGATTTACCTATTTTACCTATTAAAAATTGTGATTTTCCATGGCGATTATGTAAACGTTTGCCAGAGGGTACATTCAAATCTGATTTGTAGAGCCAGGACATTCTTCGAACACCTCCATGGGCAAATTTTGGGGTGTTTAATATGATTTAATATGAATAGGGGAAGGGATTAATTTGGTCTTCATGTCATGTAGTCTTAGTGTTGTTTTTAACGTGCCTTGACAGTCACATATCCGACTATATCAACATCCCTTGAGTTGATAGTTACATGCATATCCTATTCGCAATTGGTGTGGGGCCAAAAACAATTGATGACTCATAGCCCTCACTGATCTGCCACCTGCCTCAGAGGGGTCATCTGCCTCAGATGTGGCAGAGCCCTGTTTTTTGGGCCAGCTGGGAGCTGGCCAAGTTTCAACATGTTTCAACTACCGCTGGCAAATGACAGGTTGCAAATTTAAGGGAAATCATATGAAATCATCAATAAACATGTCCACTCAACTATTTGAGTCTCCAGTCTTTATAGGAAAAAAAAGTGAAATCATCCATAAAGTGGGTGGTTTTTAAAGGCCAGATTAGATATTTGGAGGGATAATTCAGAGTTCTCGAATGTTCATTGAGTTTTGTGGGGAGTTTTGCAGCGATTTTTTTTCGCCATACCATGCCATACCCAGCAACAAATATCTACCCTCTGGTAAACTAACATAGCTATTCAAAATGGCCATTTATAGTGAATTTTCCCATTAAAAATGGTGATTTTCCATAGTCATGTTAGTTTACCAGAGGGTATGTCAACTGGCAAGTGCATGCCCCCCAGTTTCATCTCCAGGGTGAAATCTCGGATGTCGCCCCATCCGAGGAAAATTTTCCCTGGTGGAAATAGATGAAAACATGGCCACGGTTTGGGGGTACACCCTCTTCAGCCACCAAATCACAACATTTCGCAATGATCCTGGCATATCCTAATGTAACTCTGCCTGCCACACTCTTGATGACGGCTGTGTCACTTACAACTTAGGTTCCGAAGTTCATTTCAACCACCCCCGTTTCGTCAAAATCAGCATGTTGCAACCTCAAAAATCACCAGTTTCTACTAGTTTCTACCAAATAAGGGCGGAAAATTATGGGAAACTATGGATATACCTCATATTTCACCGTATTTCACCGTATTTCACCACCTTTTTTTCGCCATCCAAAAACCCAAAAAAAATTCGATCGCTGTGACCGGGCCACTGCCACCTGGGGAAGCTGGTTGACCCTACCAGCAGCCAGGATCCAAAGCTTCCAATCTCCGGTCCTGGGAGCGATTTCAGCTGTTTTCAATGCCCAGATGGGTCCATGGTGCTGGCATATTTACCTACATTTGGCTCATTTCTCGGCTAAATGTGTAGGTAAATATTCCATACATGGAGCATATGGGATGGGATACCCTCTGGTAATGACTCACAGTTTGCGAACTGGAACATGGCCATAGAAATAGTGGATTTACCCATTAATAGCATGGTGGATCTTTCCATAGTTTTTTGTAAACGTTTACCAGAGGGTAATCATGGGATGATCATTGATCATTGGAAAATGACGGTTTTTCACGGTAGTTTCGTCCGGTTTGATGTTCTTTTTTTTTCGGGTACAAGGTGGTGCCCCCGTTCGAGAACGATAAGTTGGTGAACATAACTCCAATTTCACTATGGTTTTTGTTGGTGATATATCTATAGTATTCATGGGCTTATAAACCAACGTTCACATCACTGGGGGGCACCACCTTGGGCTCGAATTTCTGGGATGTCCCATGGGCTCCACCTTAAAATTCCCATGGGAAATGCGGGGTTGCCTTGTTTGATCAAAATCTCTGGGAAAACGATCGATCTTTGCCCAGAAAAACAACGGGATCATAATAGGAGAGTGATAGGATGCTAATAGGTAATAAGGAGATAGTAATGGATATTAATGGTGGATACTATATATAATGGTATAATTATGGGATAATAGTGGATAATACTGCGACAATAATTCCAAAGTTCAATGGATAAGAATGGGATAACAATGGGATATTAATGGAGTTACCCTTCTGGTAATCAAACCATGGCAATTGAAAATCCGCGCACTAAATGGTGGTCTAATGGGAAAACCATCGAACTAAATTCGAAATTATCCATTGCATATTTGATTGCTGGACGCGGACGGTGACGAAATTGGGATTGGGATGTCAGTCATAGCTTTAGCATTATTTTGATCAACATCATCGGGCTTCGACCTGTAGGTAGATAGATAGATAGATAGATTGATAGATTGATAGATACATACATAGATACATAGATACATAGATACATATATACATATATACATATACGCATAATTATACATATACATATGTATAATATTATATATATATGTATATTATGTATACATATATCGAGAGTTGAAGGGGCTTAGCCAACAAAGGTAGTGGGATTGCCTTCCTGTGAGAAAAACTTGTGGATGTTTGACCCCCCCCCAAGCAGCATCTCAAGCAGAGATCTTCCCAGCAAACAGGAGGCTACAAGACCCCTAAAGCTGGGTCTCACCAACAGGAACGTGGAATTATGTGGAATTTGAACCCAACAAAGTATGGTCATAACTTTGGGCATTTCGCCAACCACATTATGGATTAAGATGATGCAATCATATTTAAGCAACAAAGAAACAGTCATTAGCATTTTCCAACTGTTTAACATGAGATATTGCGATCATGTCATGGTCATCAACTGGTCATTAACTCATGGTAAGCAACTAATGCATGTGCCAAGAAACCCGTACAATGTCTCACTGGGATAGCTCAAGTAGTGCGAGTCCCTTCTGTACTCGACCCTGCTCTGTCGAAATGAAACCTGCTCAGGGTGAGGGCGTGGCGTAGCGGGTCAAACAAGCCGGGATCGGCCATCAGAACCATAGAGATTCAGCAATAATGGATGTTGGTGACGAATAAAGCGACAAGAATATTGACCCCTCCGACAATGACATATAATGAATATATATATATATATATACCATCTGGTTATTTAACATAGCCGTGGAAAATCCCCATGCTATTAATAGGTAAACCATCTATTTCTATGGGCCATGGCTTAACCATGGCGAACTGTTAGTCATAACCAGATGGTATATATCTAGTGACTTCATAGAGTGACCCCTCCAATCGATGGTGAAGATTCGCCAAGAAAAATCATCATGTCGCTGTTGGTGACTAATAAACCACATACCCTCTGATCTCTGGTTAATTATTTAACATAGCCATGGAAAATGGCCCATGTGTGAATGATGTTCCCATTCAGACATCCATGTTTAAGTGATTTTCCATGGCCGTGTTAAATAACCAGATGATAAACCCTCAATGAATCACTTCACCTAAAAGCAGGGTGGGGGTGGGCTGAATAGCCATGAAATAAGATCCCTACTTGATCAACATGAGAAACACTTGGAATCATAAAAAGCCTGGGCCTGGGGGACCACTGAGGTCCAAACAGGAGTTGAACCCCTCCAGATATTCCAATGCAAATGGGGATGGATCAACCCTGTCTGAAATCTATGCCAGAAAAGTGCTGCGATTTTTGGCACTCAAAAATCCTGGAATACTCAAATATTCTTCCAAGTTCTTGGCCTTGAAATCTCTCAGATTTCAAGGCCAATTCTTGCCCAACATATCCCATCTTCGTCATCACCGGAACTCACGACGACGCGCGGGCTGGGGATGGCGCCTCATTCTTCACCGAGCTTTGGGATTCCTTTTCCAGAAATTCGTGCACGGCATCACCTTGGCTGCACTGATGGGTGCTACTCCTAGACATGGAGATACCAAATGGATCCCCATCCAACAGCCTTTTATTTGAAGTTTCAATGGGGGAGGACTACTTACGCCACCCGAACTACACATGTTTTTCGTCATGCGATGATTACAACATCTTCGGAAATGAAGTTCGTACCAAGGTCCAATAAGTCCAATAAGGTCTACCCAGTTAAACATGGTTATACACAATTTCTGTGCAAAAACTCATGGGATATTGCTCTAAAAATCCATTTCCTGGAATTTCCTCTAAGTCAGCCAGCGAGCTCTTGGATTTGCTTAAGGAATCCCCTCACAAAAGTTAAAACATATTCCCTATGGATCCCTATGGCCCTATAGATTCTCCAAGTAGTGTATTTCCCGACGGGAAAATCGACCAAATCATCGACTCTGAGCTGCTGAATGTCCCTGGACCTGTGAGTTCCAAGGCGTTCTGGATTTTCCAGTTGAATTTCTCGCGCACCATCTGCAAGCATCGGAACCTGAGATACCAATGGCGGAAAAAACAGCATGGAACCTTCAAGAACTTGCTCCGGAAGATGAGTTTCCCGTTGGAACTTACATTTAAACGCGGCAAGCTGGAAGCTCCCTGAACTAAATGGAGGTTTTCATGGGAAAGTCATCAAAATGCGTTGCCATGTTTGATTATCGGAGGGATTTCTTTCGGGGCTGAGCTTCATGATGAATTTCAGGAGGGGTAGGCTATGCATGATTGAGCACTGGAATCACCAGTTGACCAAAGTGCAGATTTTGGCAATAGAAATTGGGCTCAACAGTGGCTGAACCACCAAACTGAAGATGAAAATGGCAGTGTGATTTTCGCCAGCAAGGATGATCAAGGATGCCAGTCTTTTTTGGGGAAGCCCTCACCAGCCACCCCAAAAAAGGTGCCACAAATGCACGAAAGACTCTCTGAAGATTTCTAAGCCGATCATTCAAAGATCATCCAAGCCAAAGCCTAAGTCACTTACTGGTTGGTGGTATACCTACCCCTCTGAAAAATATGAGTTCGTCAGTTGGGCTTATTCTTCCCAATATGATGGGAAAGTCATAAAATTCCATGGTTCCAAACCACCAAGCAGCTTAGGTCAAAAGTATGTCCCCATATTAGTCCCCCAAAAAAGATGCCGAAAAGTGTGGTGAAACCAGGATGGCACTTCGATATTTCCAGGTTTGTGGCGTCCGAGCGGCATCACGGGACTCTTTGGGGCAGATGCCATCAGCCAGTTCTCAAACTGCTCGGTGCGCACCAGTGTGTTGTCGATCCTTGGTGCTTCAACGGGGATAAGAAAGGCTGGCTGGTGGTTAGATGATGGAACTGGCTTACTCTAGCCATGGCAGAGTCATATCTCAAGAATCTATCATAATCTAACCAAACTTGTTTCTTTCAACCATCATGACCGGGAGCTATCAAAAGGTGGTACGCCAGGTCGTTTGCGAAGTTGATAAGAATATCACTCCAAATAACTGTTGGGATGTTGGTAGATATATCAATGTTATCAACAGTCCATCGGGGTTATAGACTTATCAATAATGACCTTTTGGTAGAAATAGAGGGGCCGGTTTGGTATACCATCTATCATCATTTACCTCTTGTTAAAGGGGTAAACAAACCCCTCTATGAAAATCAACCAATGCGAAAAGGACATCTATGATAGACTTGCAAGTTAACCAAGACAAATCACCAGTTTAAGAGGTAAATCTTCACAAATCATCTGGAAACGGGCCATTTTCCAGTTTGCAAACTGTCACCCTCTGGTAAACGTTTACATAACTATAGAAAATCACCATGTTTGATGGGTAAATCCACTATTTCGACTGGGCCATGGCTTCAATAGCTATTTTATGACATAACCAGAGGGTAACCAGAGGGTAACCAGAGGGTATAAGTAACAAAACCCAGAATAATCACTGGGCCAAACTTTAGACCATCAGATTCCCAGTCTCCTGGCATCCTCCGTGTAGCGGTGGCCATATTCATAGCCTTTCTGGACGCGACAGACCATGGGAAAATGGTGGTGCTTATGGTGCTTGAAAACCATGAAGAAATGGTGGTTTCACCACCAAAAACTGTAATCAAACATAGCGATGTCCTAGGATATCCCGGATATCCCCGAACGATATGTGTTTGATTGCCATGGGGGCCCCAGGATCTCTGCGGAAAAAGTACTGCAAATCTGCAAATCGAGGTGAATTCTTCTCAAGGGCGGAGCCAGATCGAAAATCATCCAATCATCCACAATCAATGAACTGCTGAAAAAATATGGCAGATCTTGGACGCCATAAAATAGCTGGCTACTATACATCCTCATTTCGCCCCAAAAAAATGAAGTATAATAAGTATATATATATATTATATTTAGCAGCCATCCAAGGTTGATCAAGACTCTCCTTGAACAAAACCTGAAGATCCGAAGATCCAGGAAGCCTGGCTCCCTGGCATCCCATTCGTATCCCTGGGAAAAGCCGTATGCAACCCCATTAAACTACCAGAAATAACCTTCATTTTCTCATCACTATACCATGATTTTCCGATTTTAAAGATGATTTCCAGCTAGACACCTCCGTTTATCGGACATGTCCCATCATTTCGCCAGGAAGCCCACAATCATGTTGGCCTCCTTCGGTACCTCCCATTTTTCGATGGGCTTCAGGCTGGTCACATCCAGATCAGCATAGTAGCCTGAGCCCGGCGCTAGCAGTCTGAATGGAGCTTTAGTTCCCTGGGAAAATCATCGATTTTCAATGATGGATTTTCCCAAAGCTGGTTTTTCATGACTATTTCACGTTCACTTTCACTTTCATGTCCCAAAGCTGGTTTTTGATGACTATTTCGTGATCGGGTGTCAAAAAATGGAGTGTTTTAATGAATTGATGGTGGTTTGGAGGGGATATATTCTAGATCATTTCACCGATCCTCTGGTTATTTAACACTTTGCGAAGTGGAAAATGGCCGATCTATATGATCTATATATATATGATTTACCTACCGTTTGGTCATTTAATATAGCCATGGTATAGATGGCCCATAGAAATAGATGGTTTACCTATTAATAGCATGGTGATTTTCCATGGCTATGTTAAATAACTAGAGGGTAAACTGTGATTTTCCATGGCTGAAGTACAGTAAACACTCGAAAAAGATAGGAAAGGGTAGATTTATCACGGCATTCACGACTGGTACCACAGATGTTCAATTTTACCGAAATCTATCTTTTGTGGGGTTGCTATATATGTTTTATTGGGATTATTTTAGCCCATCTAAAAATATCTAAAAATTATGCATGACTTAACATCGAATTAATTGACATTAACTGGGATCTATTTAAGATTAGTATACCATGAAAACTGGTGGGATTTAATTGATTTGACCGCGACCATAGTGGGTTTTACCAATGGTGGATGACTAGCCACACATCGGATTATATAATGGGATTTTATTGAGGTAATTCTCTCATTCAATTTTAAACTCCATTCATTATAACTCAACAATACCAACATGGGCAGGCATTATACATGGCAATGTTGATACTTATATAATTACCCTCAAAGAAGAACACGTTTTGTTTGGGATTATGCAAGACGCTCTGCTATGTCGAAGGTCAGCTAAAAACAGCAAAAGTTCAGGGGCCCTGTTCGAAAGGGTTGCTCCCAATACCCCCAAAAGAGATGGAAAATTGCTACTTGGTGGCTCATCCCACTTAGTAGCTTATATCTGGGGTTATAAGTCAGCTGGCTGTACCCAAAAAGACATTGGAGCGCTCCGGCTTAGATGTGGGACGGTACTAATCATAGAGATGGAACATGAATTCCAATTGCACATGGACATTCCAAGAAGGCATGGTGCTTTCAAACAGAGATTTCATGGACATAAGTGGCTACTAAAATCTGGGAACTTCACATACCTTTCATTTATGTACAACTGTGTGATAATTAACACATGATAAACATCCGTTCAAACTGCATGGTTCCGGGTGAAATCCCTGTTTATGATAAACCAATATAAAACATTCTTAAAATGATCCTCCAAAAACATTGGGTAAATGAAACGCCCTTTTTTGTTTTTATGTTATTTTATGATTACATCAAGTAACTCAATCAAAATCCGGGCATGTTCGTCCCCAATTTTCATGGTTACTTAGATCAGCTAAATCAATTGACCCCTATCTTTCTAAATATTTTCTGGGTGAAATCACCACTTTGCATTTTCATGGTTTAACCGGTTTAACCATCATTTTTCCACATTCTGGGTGGTTCATTCACAATTTCTCCATCATGAAACCATATGTTTGCCCAAAAAATCGGCGGTTACCCTCTGGTAAACTAACATAGCTATTGAAAATGACCATTTATAGTGAGTTTTCCCATTAAAAATAGTGATTTTCCATAGTTATGTTCGTTTACCAGAGGGTAAATCACAAGTGCCCCCATCGGCTTAGGTGCCTCCCTGGTCCCAAAGGACCAGGTATCGGAAGGCGTCGGCTTTTTCGATCTTCGTCAGGCCGCCCCAGATGGGCCAAATCAAATCCTTTTTTCGGCCAACGGTGGTCTCCCCAACGTTGAAAAAGGGTTCAATAAGTTTCAATAGGGGATATATGGGGATATTTTCTAGGGGTTTGAATTTTGTTTTTTTTTTTTCCAGCCGTACCCTGCAATGAAAAGTAGTCAAGGTCAACGCAAGGCGTGGGCGTAGCCGAAGGTCCATGGTGCAACCTAGAATGTCCTGCTTATGGCTGCATTATATATCCGTGGGATTTCAAGTAGACATAACCACGCAAGATATGCTCAAACGTATGTTTTTGTTTGCATAATGCAGCCAATTTTGTTTTGGTCGACCAATTCGTTTCCTGCTATGTTGTGGCCTAATAGCACTATTGGGTTGAACAAATATTTGACGCATAGGGTCCTCTGGGCCTGCTCTTAGAACATGATCTAATAATTTGGATTTCCTGTGTAAGTAAGACTGGCTGAACAGTTCAAATTCCCGTTGGTCGCCTTGATTTGTGTAAATGATTGCTGTACATCTTTGCAAAACAACTCTGTTGGAATATCGTCTATCAATGAAAGACGATGGAATTTTGAGGATTCTCCTCAAACACCGCATTTGGAAAGCATCAATTTTCTTGAGCATAGCACCAGTCAAATGGATTGTCTCAAGACCGTACAACAATTTAGATCTGAGCACCACATCAAATATGAGTAGCTGCCATTTGACGTTTGCATTTGTTGCCTTCCAGTACGGCGAGAGTTTGTACCAAGTTTTTCGTGTTTAGGATTTCGTGTTTTATGTTGGCATCTTTGTTAATCTCGTTTCCTAGATACCCTCTGGCAAACTAACAGTTTGCTATTGAAAATGGCCATAGAAATAGTTGATTTACCCATTGAAAATTGTGATTTTCCATAGCTTCAAATTTTGGGAGCGCTTCGTTGTTTAAAAGGTGGACCACAGCTCTATTCATTTGGATTGCCACGTTATCTTTGTTTAGTGTCATGCAGTCCATCTTACTGGTGCGTTTTACGTAGGGAATGGATGGGTTGCTGGAGGTTGCTGGGATGATGACATTACTAGTGATGAAATGGATCATTCCCGAAAATTCCCTGCTAAGCACCAGCAAGCCATATTTGCCGGAAATAGTTTCAGTGAGCTTTAACAATTCATTTCAGGCCCTGTTTTCTGTTGAGAAAAGAATCGTATCGTCGGCATAATAAAACATATCGAAATCCAAGTTTGGAATTCTGCCGTTTTGTACCCAACGACTTGAGTTTATCCGTATCTCTATCCGTATCTCTATCCGTCTACGCATGACATAACAATAACAAAGAGGTAAGGGGACAAAGGGCATCCCTGCCTGATACCAGAAGATTGACGTTTGATCTGAGATGTTACAAATGAATCTTGGACTTACTGGTGGTAAATGAATATTTCAATGATGGTTTCATAATCCTATCTAAATTCTAAGTAGGCTCTTGAATGGGATTTACTGGGGATTCATATGTTGGGGTTTCAAATTAAGAGTCTTAATGGGATTTAATGGGAACCCAAACATAAATATCCGAAATATGTCAACATATTCGATATGGTCATGGAGGGTGTGTTTCCGATAAAAATTGATGTCCTCAAAACAGGGCCGCAGGGCTCCATTTTGTTGGACTATCCCGTAGAGCTGAGGAAGGATTCGTTGAGTCACCAGCCAAGCTTCTTAGTTCCAACATGGAATCTCAAGATTCCCCAATGTTTCATCACCCAATGGTGTTCCCCAATGTTTGATCACCCAATTACTTGGTTGATCAGGTACCAAATAATCAAAACATTCGGATTCGCGACTTGATCATTGAAACATTTTCCGTGTTTTTTTTTGGGGGGAAAAGTCCTCAGAAAAAAGTCGTTCAACGACGGCTGGAAAATGGCTCGGCTCATCCGAAGGGTCAACTCTGTGGAATCTATTGGATCTATGGAGGGCAATTTGGAGATATCTTATGGGGATTCATTGTACCATCGCAAACAAGAATCTTCAAGTGGTCGATATGCATACATAGCTAGACATGTATGTCTATAGTGTAAATATATGCAATCATGTATATATGTACATAATCATATATGCATATATAGGTATAGATAGATATGTATGCGCACATGCCCCGTCTCTTCATCAACCGACCATTGGAACACCTGGTGATGATTTGCAAGCCCTGGTGGTTTAAGTCCAACGGCTTGTTGGGCTGGATCCTGGTCCCGTCCATTACGCAATATTGCTCCATACATATACTATAAGCTGGATATTATATAGTTATGTAATTATGTAATATATGTAATATATTATGGTATTTTATGGTATTTTACAGGTGTATACTATTAATTATGGGGTATAATACTCATATATTCAGATTATCAATACATATATATATATATGTTATCGATACCATTCGATACCCAATTCCTGAAGTTCCGAGCCTCGTTTTTGATGGATTTTCAATGAGGGAGACATGGTTTGTCAAGGGATTTCGCCAGCACAGCTGCTTGACATACATTATGAAGGGAAAATGGTCCAGTTTTAGTCAACTTGGGGGTATGTTCCCCTCAAAAATGATCATCTTGATTATAACTTGTTGGTTTAAGTCCCCCTATTTTCTTGTTCATTCATGGTCCCACATTTCCTCCATGAAGTTACCATGGAAAATCCCCTAGTTTTTTCGCCCTACGGCCATTTCGCCGCCCAGCTTCGGGTGATTTGCTCCGGGCCAGTTCTTCTAGATCTGCATCGGTCCAGAGTTTGTATTCGCAGCCAGGGTTCATGGTTCGCCACGTCTTGGTCCACCACTTGTGTTTGCCCACGACCTTCTGATTTCCTGGGGAAATCTGGGCAAAAATCGGAAGCAATGTCTAAAAATGGAGGTATATGGAGGTATACCTAGCAGTTGATTTGAGAAATAGTTGAGATTCTGGGGGCAGGAAATCTGGTGGCTTGACACGTTGTCATGCCATTGTTTTTTTGGCAAAGCATCTGATATGACATGATGATTTCAGTCATGATTTAGATGAAAATTGAGATTGTGCTTTCTTACCCAAGTCACCAAACCAACAAACCTCAGTGATATGAAATCCATGTTGAGGTTAGTGGGGGGGGATCCCGGACATCCACTGCAAACAAAAACGCTATCACAGCCTTGGTGGCTTTCCGTTGGTGAAATTAATCCCTTCCCCGTAACCCCACAAAAAAAATACTTTACTTCGTGTGATCCCCACCATGACATTTATACATGTTCTTACTGGCACATCTTCTGGCATTCATATCTGGACATATCTTCTGACATTCTATTTGGCATTCTATCTGGCATATCTTCTGGCATTCTATCTGGCACTCTATCTGACATATCTTCTGGCATTCAATCTGGCATATCTTCTGGCATATATTCTGACATATCTTCTGGCATTCTATCTGGCATTCTGGCATTCTGGCATTCTATCTGGCATATCTTCTGGAATGTCATATCTCTGGCATATCTATCTGGCATATCTTCTGGCATATTTTCTGGCATTCTACCTGGCAAATCTTCTGGCACTCTATCTGACATTTTATCTTCCTACATGAGGTCCGGCAGGGAACACTTGGCGTGGATACTCGCGGTTGAGGTCCGGCAGGGAACACTGGGCGTGGATGGTCGTGGTTGAGGTCCGGCAGGGAACACTGGGCGTGGGATGGTCGTGGTTGAGGTCCGGCAGCGAACACTGTGGATCGCGAGTCGCAGTTGAGCAGGAGGACGAGGAGGACAACGAGACGAGGAGGACAACGAGAGGAGGAGGACAACGAGAGGAGGAGGACGACGAGAGGAGGAGGAGAGGAGGAGGAGGAGGAGCAGGCAACTTAGATAAAATCTAACAACCCTCACCTGGCAGGTGGGGAAAAAAAACACACAGGGACCCTCCCAAAACCATCTTATTGCAGTTGTGCATCTGATCATTTTGGGGTCCCGTCTTTGGGGGCGCTTAGAGTCTGAGATGGGTTATGGGGCACCCCAGCCATAGCCATAAATTGTGGGCATAACCTTTATTTTGAAACAGACCACTTTTCGCGATTCGTTGTTTTCCCAACTTCAGATCATTGAACCACGAATGTTTCACCAATTTCAGTTGCTTAAATTGGGCCACCATTTCTGGCTCAACTCAGCCCCGAGTTTCTCCAAGTTTGATGGATCACGCAGGGAATCCTGGGCGCCACAGGTTTTTTCACCTCCTTCTGTATCAGCGCGCAATCTCCATCTGACTGATTCTGGGCCACCGCCACCGCGCTCCTGTTCCCAGGACTTGGACCCGGGGGGTTCGGGGGATAGTTTGATGGATACCCTCTGGCAAACTAGCATGTAACATATAGGTAACATAGGAAAATCATGCTTGTGAATGGCTAAATCAAGGAACTCCATGGCCATGTTCAAGTTCGCAGTCCCTCTTAGCCTGTTAGTTATTCATATATTCATTCCCGGAGGGTCTTTGATATGACAGGGACAGACGTACAAAAAAAAGAGGCTGTCCATTTTTTTCGGAGCGGGACTCACCGGAATCCAGGAGATAATCCCAAATCAATCATCTATAAACCATCTATATTACTTTAATGATTTATAGATGATTTGGGACTATAAAATAGATGGTTTCATGGATGATTTAATATGAAATTATAAATCAACTATTATAACCAATTTAATAAACCATCATAGGGGTTTCCATTATAATTTATTCCATTTATATAATTCCATCTATAGGGGTTTCCATTATATAATTCCATCTTTTTTGGGGTTTCTATAATGATTATCAATATGGCTTTTAATAGGATTATAACATAGTTGCTTTATAAACCTCATAAAAAAATAGTCTAGCTGGTTGGTGGTTGACCTACAGTACCCCTCTGAAAAATGATGGAGTGAAAGTCAATTGGGATCATGACATTCCCAATATGATGGGAAAAATAAAAGTCATGTTCCAAACCACCAACCAGCATCTATGTCAATAAAATTTTAAATTATAAACAATCTATTTTATGGGGTAGCCCCATTTATGGAAACCTCCATATGCAAATCAAATATGTGGGGGTTTCTTGACATGGGGTGTCCCCAGTCGTCACCACAGGTTCCAATACGAAGACGACTGGATGATTTGGGGGTACCCCCGTGACCTACAATGTGGCCCCCCCCAGTTATAAGTTGGTTTCTAAACCCCAGTAACTAATAGTAACTATAGTTATAAATGCCATAAACCCTAGTTATTGGACATATAAACCAACCTAGCTATCTTGGGGGCCTCACATTGTAGGAAACCCCAATTTAAACCAGAACAGCAGATGGATTGACACAGATCTACAACAAATGACTCATAGCGATACCCACATCCAAAATGACACCAAAATTGCGACTCAATATGCCAAAAACAAACATGCAACAAAAGTTTGAGCTCTGAGTTTGTCCAAAAACATTGTACTGACACTAGTACCATCAAGAATCCATTGCTTATCATTTCCCTATGACTCATAAATTGGTGTAAGACAAGCATGTTCGAACACACCTACAAGGTGGTGCCCCCCAGTTATAAGTTGGTTTATAAGCTCATTAACTATAGATATATCACCTATAAAACATAGTTATTGGAGTTATAAACCAACTTAGCTATCTTGGGGGCACCACCTTGTAATATCATACTTGTTGGTTATATAGCCCATGATCTCCCCATGCTTCGTGGTAGCTCCCCATGTCACAGCACAGCCAAGGCTCAGCAGAACGAACACATATGCACAAGCCATGAGCGCCGGTCAAACGCTCGCATTCGGTAACGAATAAAACGAGCCAAAAACTGCAGTTGAACGAAGCAGCGGTTGAGGGCATCCAAAAAACATCCCGGATGTTTGTGTAGCTTCACATGTTCCCAAGTGGCGGTTCAAATGTCCATTTAAACTAAACCACACATATTGACAATAAACAAATATAAAAGATAGATTATTGATATTCAGAGATTTGGCAAGATTCTGCGTATATTGATTCAGTTGGTATTTGTTCATGAAAAACTATCAAATAAATTCATTCATTTTATATATATATATATACATGTCATGCTCGGACCACGGAAGGCATTTTCATGGTGACGGTCGACTTTGCGCAGACTTGCCAGCTGGGTGCTGGGTGTGCTGTCAATTAACGCCACGGGCTTTTAAGATATCTATCCGACTTACACCGGGAGCAGTCTCAGCAGGGCTGGATAAGCATCACAAGATCATGGCTAACTAATTTCTATATTCATATTTTAAATGTACTATGATTTTGTTTCGATGTTTTCTTCCCCCTAGCTCTGCTGAAACTGCGGGTGTTTGCAAGTAGCGCACTTTGTGTACGACCGCCGGGAACGTGCCAAAATCCTACAGAAATAGGAGATAAGAGGATACAAATAAAATATCCAGGAGAGCAGTGCAGAACTTATGTTGCAAACTGCCACACCTTAAACTTGCATTTTCGCATCATGCGGATGCCCTTTCGCAACGGCATCATGCGGAGGTTGGCTTGGTTCTTCACAGGGTCTGCCGACCACAACCTCGGCACAAGACGCTGATGCTCGGAACCACCACAATCACAAGGATCTGCCAGCGCAACGAAAAAGGAGACAAGACATGTCCAATCAAAAAGGTCCAAAGCTTAAACATACCCACTAGATACTAACTAGTTATTCGAATTGGAATCACAAAGTTCAAGAAATCAATCCTTATCTATCCCATAGGATTCATGTATGCTATATATGGTAACATGGATCCCATCAATATACCCCCTTTATGTTAGTATATATACCAGCACCATGGATCCTATAGGTATAATCATCCATATCTATACCGGGGTTTTCTGATATTTTTGTTGGATCACCGATGCTATACCACCGCACCTCGATGGTTCCGCCCTTGAACAGCTCCCTCTGTCGCCGGGAGATACAACAAGTCAGGAGGAAAGTGATGCAAGCGCCAAAGAAAATGGCCAAGAGAACCTGGAAAGCATACCCATTAATGCTCCATGTATGTAATATATGTAATATTACCTACATAACTGGGCAATTTTTTGGGTAAATGTTAGTAAATATGCCATACATGGAGCATATGGGATAGGAAAGCCAGGTTCAAATGGCTAGAAAGATCAGAAAGCATCAGAAAGCCATGCGACAAATGCTGGATCTGAGATCTAGATCTGCAAGCTTTCAAGCCAGGTTGATGCTTCCAGGTATCAGGTACTGTGATCAGCTACTGATGGTGAAATCATGGGTTTTCCCAAAAAGCACTTGGAAGGCAACACAGGTTGATGGACACCGTATATGGCACCACCGACTGAAGGATATTGATTGTCAATGACACGATCTTGCACTTATAAGATCTTATAAGTATCATCATCCATTCTTTATGTGTTCTAGCTATACGATCCTGTAATCATGATCATATTAAGTATCATCATCGTTTACATTCATTTACCCATTGGTATCTCTTGGTTCTGAAAGAGGGGGGGGTGACCCTCTAAATGGGCTCCCTCGATCATGGGATCATCGATGAAATGGCTGTTGGTTGATGAACAATTCTTCAGCAGCATTGCAGCATTGCCAACAACTTTATGAGACGTTCAGGCTTTGATGGTTTCATACGGTTTCATGAGACCTGATAGTATCAGGAATTAGTTCTTGGTTGCTTGATGACCCATAGGATCCATGTATGGTATATATACTAACATTGGGGGTATATTGATGGTAAATGTTACCATATACAGCATACATGGATCCTATGGGTGGGTGGATCTTGAATGGTTCTTAAATGCGTTGATTCCATGAGGTTGATGGAGGATGGTGTTCAGCCCCGATGTCTCAGATTTTCTCAGTTCCAAAAATTAGAGCTTTAAACACCATCCCATACCATTAAACACCACTGGTATCCCCGTAGTTTGATGGTTAAAGCCCTTTATTAGTCCATAGTTCAGTTATCCATGGATACAGTGAAAGGTTGGATCCCAACTTTACATTGGGCTTCTAACTTTCTCACAAATGACAGGATCATTGCTGCACCGGGCCTGGCTGGGACGGTTGAAAATCAGAAACCACTTTGGGGATGGTAAGGGATACATGAGATACATGAGTGTGTGAAACCATGGTGAATCTTAGATACCTGCCCCAAAAAATATCATTTTTAGCTGGTTAGTACATTTACATACACCATTCATAGCAAAAGATTAAAGTACCAAAGTAACCAAATTTGACCCACCAATAGATGAATAGCAACTGCTCAACATTCAACATTCGTAACGAAACGTTGATTTTTTGTTGATCCATCCCTTGGGGGTTTCCGGGTTTCCCTTGGGTCCAGGGTGCCAAGGTCCAGAATCCAAGCTGTGACCTGGATTCGAGCCACCAGCTGGAAGCGGTCTGCGGACAGCTGCTACTATGGAAATGGCTGTTTGCCTCAAAGATGGACAGGGCACCCCTTTCAGCCTCCAAGACCAACTTGAGAGTTGCTGCCTCTACCTCTCCGCACGAAAGCCTCGCACATGATGGCATAGGGGTGAATCAAAATCTGGGTTTGACATTACACACACATGCATATATATATATACACATACTATATTTTAATAAATATAAATATATATATATATTATATATTATACTGTGTCTACGAGCTGTGTTTTCTGGGAGTTTGGGAAAATTATGAGGGCGGTGGGGATGTTCCATTTTTGAGGGCACATGTGTTCTTTTGATCCCAACGACAAACGGCACAAGATGGCTCTCCAAAACAGCAGAAACACATCATCAGCATCCGAGCAACAACACGAAATGCCAGTCGCGCGTGCCAGAACCTTGAAGAATTCGAACCGTGAAGTCTCCAGAATGTAGTTGCATGTAAGCTGATGCTTCCTGCAAGTTTCACCGATTCATAGCTGAATGTTCCCATGTTTCCCATGTTTCCCATGTTTCCCATGGTGACTTTGCGGCCACCGATTTGTTACAAAGAGGCCACAGTTGGACAAATCCTCGTCCCATATTTCTAGAATTGATTTCTCCACTGTTGCTGTTACCCATAACTAACCCAAGATTTACGCGGTTTTTTTTGTTGCTGTGAGATCGCGATAGCTACATCAGAGTTGTTTTCTTTGCAAATGCTTCGCAAGAATCACTTAGTGGGAGTGCCAATCGCTATCTAAGTACTTTTCGAGCTGTTGCTTTCATGTTATCCGAATGAAATTCTACTGGTTTTTCTTAGTCTATATCTGCCGATCTAGTCATCTGATGAACTATTGTGGATGGTTGCGAAATCCTGCACTACCAAAAGGATGGTTGAAGCCCTATAAATATAATATTAAATGATGGGATGTTTAGCATCAACTGGTGATTCGGATTTCGATTTCGCATCTTATACATTCTGAAATACATTCGTTGCTTGACAATGCTGTCCCAATTCTATGGCTTAGTCATGCTTAATTAGTTCGAATCATCCCCAAGGAAAGACGGCGAAGATGGCGAAGTCCCAACTAAAATTCACCAATCCACCAATCGAAAACTCGGCTGATGGCTCAATTGACAATTAGTTATCAACGATATTTTTTCCAACTGTTAACCACCAACAAAAACAATGGTTCTTTATCCGCATGACAACACCTTCACCAATCAACCAGTGGATTTTTCATGGCTCAATTGACATAGATCTTGGTAAATTGTCATAGTTCACTAACCTGAAAAAGTTAGGCCCACACTGCCACCGGGGAGGATTCCAACCATGATTACCCAAGATGCAATCATCAAATATCCACTATATCCCCATCTGTTGACCATTGGAAACCCCCTGTCAAACCCATTGGTAACCACTATAAATATGATATGGTTAAATATGGTTAAATATGGTTAAATATGGTTAAATATGGTTAAATATGCTTAAAGATTGTTAAATATGCTTAAATATGCTTAAATATGGTTAAATATGCTTAAATATGGTTAAATATGGTTAAATATGGTTAAATATGCTTAAATATGGTTAAATATGGTTAAATATGGTTAAATATGGTTAAATATGGTTAAATATGCTTAAATATGCTTAAATATGCTTAAATATGCTTAAATATGCTTAAATATGGTTAAATATGGTTAAATATGCTTAAATATGGTTAAATATGGTTAAATATGGTTAAATATGGTTAAATATGGTTAAATATGGTTAAATTTAAGAGTTGCGTTGGCAGGCAACCATTGGAAAATCAAAAATAGTTTTTTTTGCAAGGTTTGTAGCGAGCGGAGGCTCAATCAAATAGTGATTTAACATTTCAGAAGAGCAAGTGGATAGCAAGAAAATAGCGAGCGAATAGTGATTTTTCCGAGGAATATTCGAAATTTCGCATTTTTCTTTAATCCCGAACGATCCGAGCAAGGAAAATTAGCACCTTTATTGGGAAAATTGCTATTCGCTTGCTTTTGCGTATCAAATGCAAAAAGGGAAATAGCGAGCGAATAGTGATTTTTCCGACGGAAAATTTGAAATTT